CTGAGCTTAAGATAATTATTTTGAATTTTTGTTACGGATATAATCAGTCTTATTTTCTCTTGAGATGGGGGAGGGAGGCTATGTCGCCTAGATTGGCCTTGTGATCCTTCTGCCTCAGTCTCCTAAGTTACTATCTTTACAAGTATATGCCATGACACCCATCTTCTCAATTTTCCCCCTTCTTTCTTTAGTGGTGCTGGGGTTCGAACAGAGTCTCTATCATTGAGCTAGTTCTTTTTTTCTAAAGACTGGGTCTAAGCCACCCAGGTTGGCCTTGAACTTGTTTGTGATCTTCCTAGGATCACAGGGATATGCCAAAATGCCCAGCTCCCATTTCTTTAGATTTACTGGTGCTTTATTTTGTTCTCTTGGTAGACTATGTCTGATTGTTCCTCCTGTGACTGTGTGTTGGAGTCTGGGTATTGGAAGAAATGAGGACCTACTCTACATTATGCAGATTGGATTTACCTTGGAAAGCCCTTCATTGGTTAGCCTGTCCAGAGATTCTGGGGCAGATGTTTGGTGCAGTGCATAGGCAGGCTTGCTGCTGGAGTTCTTGGGCAGGCTGGCCTAGTGCTTGGTCAGCAGGTGGGCAGTCCTGGTGCTTGGGTGTGTGATCTGTGGAACTGGGCCTGGAATCTGGCTCCACAGGGGCTGACATGGTGTTGGGGGTAGAACTGTGATGAGCCTAGAGCCTGGGTCCACAGTGGCTGCCCCTTTGCTGAGGTCTGCTGGCAGGCACTAGGGCACGGGGACCATCTTGTGACTGGGCCGGCCTAGAGCCTCAGACCTGAGAAGCTAACCTGGCTCTTGGGTACTCTTGAACCTGGAGTGGTGCCACGGCCCGCATGGCTGAAGGGTCCACGGAGTGAGAAATGACAGTGGGAGATTAAGACAGACAAAGAAAATGAGAGAGTTAAAGGTGATAAAGCCAATAAGGCTGGGGCCAGGTGGAAACCCCTTTTCCTGATGGGATAAAAGAGCTGGGTGGCATCTGCATCACCTTTATTTATAGAAATAAGAGAAGTGCAGGGGGAGGTTAAAGGGGCTGGTCTGTAACCAGAGCCAGAAGAGTAGCTAAGGTCTATAGGACATCATGCTTGATGGTTTTCTGGTGAATGGGCGAGGAGGAAGACAGTCCCCTTCTCAGCCAGGCCTTGCTCCACCATGCCCTCTTGCCACCTATTCTCCTCCCACAGGGCCCTCCCTCATCCATGGGAGGAAGCCAACAAGATGCGTGTTCCTCATCCGAGGGACCCTGCCTCATCCGCAGAGGAGACGAGGCAGGCCTGGCCATAGTGATCTACAGCACAGTGCTCCCAGCAGAGTGGGCCTGCAGCTTATACCTGCAAGGGCTAACCTGTTCGTGGGCAGGCCTAGAGCCCAAGTTTGTAGGGCCTGGGTTGACAATGTGTTGGACTTGTAGCCTTGGACCAAAAAGGTTGGCCTGGTGAAGCAGGTTGGCACCTGGGGATCTAGGGTTCAGCTTGGTCCTGGACATTCCTGGAATCTCAGTCCACTGGTAGTGGCTTAACAGTCTGGTGCTGTAGGAGCCTGCTCAGTGCTGTTTTACAGGAATGGGCTATTGTTGGGGTCCAAGGTTTACTGGTCTGCTGTTCACTTCCCTCTTTCCCCCAAGTGGAGGGTATCTCTCTCCACACTGTGGTGCATGGGGTTGAAGGAGGGCCATAGTGTAAAATTGCCATTTCTACCCCCTTCAATGTGTCTTTTATTTCTTGGTTATACTATATACAATTACTGTAATCTCTTACCTGGTTTCCTTAATTCTTGTGAAAGGTATTTTCATGAGAGGAGAGTTGTCTAAACTGATTTTCTGGTAGAGGGTAATGGGTGAGTGCTTCAAAGTCCTATTCCATCCACCTTGCTGATGTCCCTTCCTCTGAATTTTTTTCCTCTCCAAGTTCTGACTCTTCTCTCAACCATCTTAAATCTCAGTTTATCATGTATTCTTGTGCATTTTACACTAGACTAAATCCAACACTCCTGAATGTGGCTGAAGAAAAACATACAATACTGATGACTGATATGACATTAAACGTATGATCACTAGCCTCTAGTGGGTCATCAGTGCATCCTTACTCAGTTCATTCACCACCTCCCCCAACATCACCCTCAGCTGGTGGCCTTGTTTCCTGTTTAACGGAGCAAATGAAAGCAATGAAGATATAGTATTCACAAGTTCCAACATCACCTCTGCCTTATTCCTAGTTGATTCTCCAATGTCTGAACTCTTCACTAGCACACTGGATCCAATCTCTTCTTGCTTGCTCAGACTGCTCTACGCTGGTCTCCTCTTTCCTGCTGCAGCATCAAGTTCTCTATTGGTCATTCCTATGAATTCATAAACACTCTACAATTTCTAACATCATACAAAACCCTTCTGAGCCCACAACCTGATTTATTTTATTGAGAGTTGCTATTAGTTCAGGCTGTCTTTGAACTCATGATCCATTTGCCCTAGCCTCCCAAGTACTGAGATAACAGGGGTACACTACTACATCTGGGTCTTCAGCCTGCATCACTTCAGCTACCTATTTCTGTTAGGAGACAATTTTCTCGGGGTTTACTATGTATCTGCCTGTCTTAAAAAGTATAGGCACTAAACAAACAAACAAAAAAAGGACAGGCACTGATAGCCTTTGTTCCAAGCTATGTTTTCAGGGTATGTGAATAATAAATAGTCCTAAAAGATAGACAGCTCTGATTCAGGTTCCCTGGGACTGGGGATTTGGCTCAGTGGGGCCACACTTGACTCGCATGCTCAAGGTCCTGAGTTCAATCCCCAGTACAGAAAAAAAAGAGGAAAAAAAAAAGATTCAAGTTCCCTAAACCTGAAGTTCTTCTCCTGTAAAAGAACCCATTGTATATGCTAGTATCACATGGCCCCTATCACATCACCCTGTGGGAAATAGCACAAGAAAATGATACCTTGGCTATAACTATGAGCAGTAACTATCACAGACATTTCTTTCTTATTTTAGGTACAGGGATCGAACTCGGGTCCTTGCGCTTGTGCATTTCTTTTCCTTTTTTTTTTTCTTCTGGTACCAGGGATTGAATTCAGGCCCTTGCACTTGCAAGGCAGGCAGTGGCACCACTCACAGGCATTTCTTAAGGGCAATAAAATGTGTCTTCAGACTGATCCATGAAAGTGTACCAGATTAACTTGTTACCATGTAAGTAGGATAAAATCTCAGATCCTTTTGTCTGACACTTTGCTTATCTACACTTTCCATTTGTAATCTGATCTTGAATCCGCCTACATTTTCTTAGACCATTTCTTTGAAACTGTTCTTATCAAAGTGACCTTACTAATGGTCATTCTCAGCACATACCCAAATATCAGTATTAGATACTGTGATCACTGTGTCTAACTACACATACCCTTTTCACTTGGGTTCCAGAACCACCCTCTCCTGGTTGCTCCTTCTTGGCCTCCTTTGCTGGTTCCTCCCCAGGCCTCCTAAATATTCAGGTGAATGTGTGAAATTCTTTATACAGTGAAACCTTGGATTGCAAGTAACTTGCTCTGCAAATGTTCTGCAAGACAAGCAAAAATTTCTATAAATTTTACTTGATAAATGAGCAATGTCTTGCAATATGAGTAGTATGCATGATGATAACTGAGCCAGTGGTCTCCCCGCCTCCCTCTCACTGCAGGATTGAGAGTGATTATTTCCCAACAGCAAGAGGTTATGAAGATCTTGTCTACAGAGAAGGAGGAGAAAAAAAAGTGGAAGAATCCCTCACTTCAAATGAGATTAGGAAGATATGTAAAATGTGAGAAACAGTGCAAAACTCTGTAGAAAAATATCATCTGAAGGTGGTGGTGTAGCAGTGTGAGCAATGAATCTGCTTGATGACAATGAAATGTCACATTTCAGCAAAATACTCAAAGGGAGGCAAAAGGAAGCATCATTGGATAGATTCGTTAAAATTACACAAAAAGGAAAAGATTCCATTGAGCCAATAGCTAGCAGTGATTCTGTAGGTGAGAGTGAAAGCTGTCCTACACACTAACCTCCTCTCTCATCTCCCTCACACCAGCTACGAAGGTTTTCAAAGGTAAGTGCAGGTTAATTTATTTTTCTTTATATTTTGTACTTTTTATTATTTTGTATTATACTATAACATTGTAATCATTTTATATGAATAAATTTGGATTGTGGAACAAATCTGTGTTTCCATTATTTTTATGAGGAAATCTGCACTGACATACAAGTGCTCTGGATTACAAGCATGTTTCTGGTACAAACTATGCTCACAAACCAAGATTTTACTGTACTTTTTTTCTAGGTAATTTCATCAAGTTTCATAGCTTAAAATACTATCTGTGCAAGAACACTAAAATTTACATTCTAAAATTGGGCTTAGAACCACCCTAACTCTAAATACATAAGGGACACAAGAACAAAAGCAGGTGCCTTGCAGATGACTGGTAGGGAAAGCCTCATTATGGCAAGGTTAAGAAGTTGTGATGATTAGTTGACAGTGTTGCATGCCCTCTGGATCTGCTCCACACCCTTTTTGTCCTTTTATCCCAGGAGTACTATATCACCTCTGGCGGGGTTCAGTCAACAGAAGCACCTGCAGGACACTGGTAACAGCAGAAAGGTGAGGCTTTTCTTTCCCATTCACCTCCTTGTTGCAGTTGTTTCTCCCACAGGAGCTGTGCCTCTGAAGGGTTACACCATCACTTAGCAGATCCTCTTTCAAGATTTTGGTTCTTCCAGGAGTTCCTTAAACACTGCTTCCCAGCTCTGTTCCTCAAGAGACAACAGGTTCTTGATGCTGCTTGACTCTGGATGTCTCACCATCCTTTGTCCCCTTAACCATTTCCTCATCTCTTCTTTCACAAGGGTTATGTGGCTAGTTCGGTTTCTTGCTGGAACCTTCAACTGTGCAACTGATTAGTTCCAGAGGGTACAATGGAAGGAATTTTATTCTCTAGGCCCATAAAATCACATACACACACACACAAAGGTTCTAAGTCTTTATTTTACAAAAATTGGTATATTCACTCTTTTTCACTAGACCTAGAAGAGTTTGTGCCTACACATTCCTTTCTATGGAAAACCATACAGCCATGGTATACTTTTATCACAATTTATTCAATCATTCCCTTACTGGTAGTCATTCTTTTTTTTTTTTTTCCTTTTGCGGTCCTTACCAAAAAAATACAATATACATAGATAATAATAAAATCTTAAGTACTGACACTTTATGTTTTTTTACAAGTAGATTCCCAGGAATCAGATTCCCAGGCTAAAGAGTATACATATTTTTAATGTAAAAAGGAGGCTGTTACCATTTACATTTCCAACAGCAGTGTTAAAAGTTACTTTCCCCACCTCTGCTTTGTCATTAGTAGATAAGATCATAACTTAGAAAGACAAAGATTTACTGGGCTGTGGTATATTTTTCCAAAGTTATTCACAATCATATAGAGTCACAGCACATCAGAGATCTTCAAAAGTAATAAAAACCAGTTTTGCTTTCCATTTATAATTCCATTGCATGATTTGTGATTAAGAGGGAAAGGTTGAACTTGTGAATTTGAAAGCAAGCTAAAATGGCACATTTCAGTTCTGCAAAAAGATAACTGTTACATTAATTATCAAACAACATATGAAGAGACCACTGAAGTCTAACATAAAAGTCTGAACATTGAAAGAAAAGGTAATTAACTTATGCTAACTCAGGTTGCAAAGGGAAAGTTTTAGATTGATGAAGATGAGACTCAAGGAAGTAATGATGCTTCCTTTAAACAGAATACTACAAAAATTCATCTCTAAAGTGAATTTTGTACATAGACACTTTAAAAAGCAAAACAGATAACTCTTTGTAGTTTTTTAAAAATAAATTATTTTTTCCTCTAAGGTCTCTGAAATGTAACTAGCATTTGTGAGGTACATAAGCATGACCTTTTGTAAGACAATTCATAAAGTATTAAGAGAGCAGAGAAACACACAAAAATACAGGTGGCTTCTAGGTTATACAATCTTTTGGAAATACACATGCATTTTTATGTCAATACTTCATGGAAAAATAAGAGCATGATGATGAGGATATTCTCTTTGCATGGCGTATTTTTATTCTGTAGTACATACTAAGTAATACAGTCACATCTGCCTCTTTTCACTGATCTCTTAGTTATCTAACACTTGCATATTTATATAAATTATTTTTCTAAAAAATATTCAAACCAAGAATCAGGTTAAGACTCCAACAATATTGTCTTCTCTTTAGCAAAGAGGCTCAGTAACAATGTCACACCAATTTATATATGCTAGCAAACAGTAGGAGAAAAAAAATTTGCTCCATGCTATTTTAAAATGTTATATATTTCATTTGGAACTCATACTGGGTTGGAAAGGTACTGAAACAAACGTGATGTTTACCACAGTATGGAAAATCTTGTCTGATATATTCTAATTATCACAGATTACAAGAATTTCAAACTCCCAATCACTGTTACATTCACATATACAGATTTAAAACATAATTTATGTTTTGTAGCATACTTTCACATATAAATTCCTAGGGCACTGTCTATATATGCTTTATGCTGCTGCCCAGAATATTCAGTTCATTCAAGATTTTAAAAAGCTCATTGTGGGCTGGTGGTGTAGCTCAGTGGTAGAGCACTTGCCCAGCATAGGCAAGGGACTGGGTTCACTCCCTAGTGCTGCAAAAATAAAACAAAGCTCACTGTAATATACCTAGAATGTCTATTTACAATTGGATATATTTTGATGTGTATACTTTAGCTCAGTATCATATCTACCTTCTGGTATAATGTTGCTCTAACGCAATGCTACTTTTTTTCACATTTTTTACTTGAGAGATTGTATCCCGGTGTGAATTTCAATGCTTGTTTTTCCCTCACTGGAGGGATTCTAAGAGGTTTTCACACTACCACCTCGTGGCAGTCTCAAGGTCTGTCCCCTATATGAACTCTCTGATGGACACTGAGTCGGGACTTCCTGCTGAAGGCCTTTCCACATTCAGTACACTCATATGGTTTCTCTCCTGTATGGATTCTCAAATGTAATCGAAGAGTTGACCTCTGGCTGAAAGTTTTGCCGCATTCAGTACATTCATACGGTTTCTCTCCTGTATGAGTTCTCATATGTATGATGAGTTGTGAGTTCTGGATAAAAGACTTTCCACATTCACTACACTCATAGCGTTTCTCTCCTGTGTGAATTTTCTGATGTATAATGAGGTTTGATTTCTTAAAGAAGGTTTTTGCACATTCATTACACTCATAGGGTCGCTCTCCAGTATGAATTCTCTGGTGTGTAGTAAGTTCAAACTTCTGAGCAAATGTCTTTCCACAGTCACCGCACTCATAGGGCTTCTTCTCCATATGTGCTCTCTGGTGTACAATAAGATTTGACTGGTGAGTGAAAGCTTTTCCACACTCAGGACATTCAAAGGGTTTCTCTCCAGTGTGAATTCTCTGATGTTTGATGAGGTTTGCCTTATGGGAGAAAGTTTTCTTACATACATTACATTCATAGGGTTTTTCTCCAGTGTGTATTCTCTTATGACTGATGAGGAGTGACTTAAAGGGGAAGGCCTTGTCACAGTAATTACAAATAAAAGGTTGAATCAAGTTTTTAATTTTCTGATGTTTAAAAATGACTTCTTTATGGCTAAGGGCTTTCCCACTTTTATTATATTCAGAGTATTCCGCTCCAAGATGGGTTTTCTCTTGTTTCAGATATAGGAGTGGTTTTCCAAATCCAGTGCATTCATCACCTTTCTTTGTTGCATAGCTATTATTATTAAGTAAGTCTGAATTATACTTCAAAGTTTTTTCATATAAATCATATTTATAGGGCACTTGTCTTAAAGAAACAAATTCTGTGTTCAGATTAAATGTTTTTCCAAAGAGATTACCTCTCTCCTCAAATGGGGTTTGGTTCTTAAGGACCGTAAACTGCCTTGCTTGCTCATCTGGATTTCTGTGCTCCCTTTCCATCTGGTCATCAGCCTTCCACACTTCTAGGATAGAGCATAATGAAATGCATGTTGTTAATCCTTTTTCAAGAATGTGACAGAATGGGAAATCTCCACAAACATTCTATACTTGAGCTGACTCTTTAGTCTGGGAGCAAGTCACCCAGTATTAAAAAATCCCAGGAGCAAACTTTTCTAATTTCTTAAATTTTGAATGAAAAAGACAAAAATACAAGCTTTTAACAAAAAAATAGAAACTGATACAAATAGCATTGCTAGATAACAAAATGACCTTAAAGTGGAGAGAAAAGTGAAATAAAAACAAAATCACCAAAAAGGGCACAAATGAGAAGGCTAGCAATTCCAAGGGTGAAGGAGATTCACAATGTCTTAAAAGACACAGAGCGGTTATACAGAGAACAAGAAAGTAAGCAGACAAAGTTGTTAAGTGGAAACACCTAGGCCAGTGATGGCAAACCTTTTAGAGCTTTCAATGATACAAACAGCCCACTGTGGCACATGTGCCATAGGTTCTCCACCACTGACCTAGGCAGATCAGAGGTTAATAACTAATACTTTGACTCTAGTCTACTGTGGTAGGACCAGTTTCATCCAAAGCAGAGAAACTTCTTAATCAGCATTTCTCATAAGCTTGCAGGGACAATCTAAATTCTCTTTTGTAAATGAATGGCAAGATCCAGAAATTCATATATTATGTTGGAAATGTAAAATAAATCCAAACCTTACAACAGAAGCACTGCACTCCACTCGCTGCTGCTAGGTTTACTGGTTTTCTAATGCAGTTGTTAGAGAGTGACTTTTTATTTATTAACATATATATGTATTCATATGTATATATGAAAAAAATATGATTTTAAAAAAATTTTTATTGTATAGGAGATTGAACTCCAAGAGCACTGAGCTACATCTCCAGCTCTTTCTAAATTTTACTTTGAGAAAGAATCTTTTTTTGGGGGGGGGGGTACCAGAGATCAGACTCGGGACCTTGCACTTGTGAGGCAGGCGGTGGAACCACTGAGCTAAATCCCCCACCTTGAGAAAGAATCTTGCTGAGTTCCCAAGTTGGCCTTGAACTTGTGATTCTTCCACCTCAGTATCCAGAATAGGATTACAAGTGTGTACCACTGAGCCCGGCTCATCATCATATTGTTTTTCTCCTTTTAATATGTCTCTGCTTCTATCTGAAGAGAACTTAAGGATAAAATTACCCAGTATTTAGTTTCCTCTTATATATTACTGGTTATTCCTAACTCTTGGGATCCTGCTGCCATTTCACCTGGGACAAAAATTCTACTCTTGTACTGAAATTATCTGCATTTTCCTCGAGGTCACTACACCAATTCCCAAAAGCTATAGTATGGAAATCAGCATTCTAGAAAAGTGAGAATACTAATTAAAAAGCAACTAATAACAACACCAAGTTTTAAGATGTATTAGGTGAGTATCTACAAACAGGGGAAAATTAAGTGGGGAGAGATGGGTATTTGGAGATGTGACTAAGATCAGAGGCAAATGTCATTTGTCCTCAGCCACCTCTAAATGTTTTGGGATTTGAAAAATAGGCTTCATGAAAAGTATTTCCAATGTACTGATTGCTCAGAATTGCTGGGATTGCTTTTACTGGTTTCTATACCATTTTCCTTCTTTTATATCTTCCCTAGGAACTTCTGAACTGACAATTCTAATTGTACCATCCATGACTCTTTTTGATAACTCCTAATTGCTTGGACTTTAGGAACCTTGAAAATCAAGAAGGTAGATTGCCAGAGGCTGTATTCAGCCCCAACACCTGAAAATGGAGGTCAACATCATTTAATAACACAGAAGCTCATAATTTTTGGTAACCAAGAAAGGATGCAACTGGTACTAGGCAAAGAGTGAGGTACACCCAAAAGCTGTTCTTACCCACTGAAAGTAGGTTGCTGTAATTCTCCAGCATCACATCCATGTATAAAATCCTCTGAGAAGGGTCCAGCTGCTCCCACTCTTCCTGGGTGAAGTCCACAGTCACATCCGTGAATGAAACTGACACCTGAAATGGTACATTGTCAGTCATTATAAAATGATCAGCTTTTGGTGACATATAAAGAATATAAAAAGCTTAAATACATTTTGTATATATACTCTAAGTCATTCACCATGAACATTTACATGTAACACTGTTCATCTTGTTTGCTTTGTTTTGGTATATCTCCAAATATTTTTATAGTTAAGACATTCATTCAGATTTCTCTGTCTCTGGCACTGTTATTGATTGTATCTAAAATTAATAAAAGGGCTGGGGATTTAGCTCAGTGGTCCTGTGCCTACCTCACAAGCATAAGGTCCTGAGTTCGATCCGGGTACCAAATAAATAAAATTAATAAAACACTGTATTCTCAAGGCATATGCAGGGAGACATGTATACAAACATTCAGCATTTGATATTATACTGTAGTGTAGTGAAGCTCACATAAGTTATTTTTATGATACCAAACAATATTAAACAAGTTCAGAATATTTCAAGGCAGAAGATGCACTTTCAATTATAAAACAAATTATCAGACACAAGTAAGGCTCTCCCTAGCCCTTCCAAACCACAGAAACAATAGAAAAGATGATTAGTGAACTGGACGACATGGTAGTAAAAAAAAAAAATCTAGACAAACACAGAAGGAATAATTGATGGCAAATACATCGGAGCCTAAAAGACACATGGAACCAGTCAAAAGGCCTAATATAGAAGGGCAAATGCACAGAAGCAATATTTAAAGAGATAATGGCTGAGAATTTTTCAAAAGAGCTCATATCAGGCCACAGTTTCAATAAACACCACTAACCCCAAGTAGAATGCCTCCCCCAAAAAATCCATACTTAAGTACATCACAATAAAACTGCTAAGATCAGAAGTAGAAATATTACCTTCAAAGGCACAATAATAAAAGAGCTTATAAAAAAAAATGGAAGCCCAAAAATAATGGAGTATCTGTGAAATGCTGAAAATATTTAGAGTTGGTAAACTGTCTATAAAGGGTCTAACAGTAAATATATTAAAGTCTACAGCCTGTATGTAGTCTCTGCTGGAACTAATCAACTCTGCCACCCTAACATAAAAGCAGGTATGAATAATATGTAGACAAATGGCACAGGTGCTTGATTTATAGAGTGATACCTGAATTTCACATAATTTTCAAACCATAAAAAGGTTCTTTCATTCTGTTTTCCATTTAAAACTAAAAATCAGTCTTACCTTGTAGGCTATACAAAAACAAAGCAGCAGGCCATTTGGACAGTGGGCCATAGTCTGACAGTCCCTGATCTAGAGTGATGACGGGTACGCAATAAATGTCAGGTATATTATTACTACTAACACAGGCATATTCCAAAAGAAAATTAAACCTAGCAAGGATCAGCTGGATACAAAATTAGCAAGTAAATCAGTAAAATATATTACATAATAAGCTATAACTAATATTTGAGTGCCAACAACTTGATAGCATGCCAGGGAGAAAGTATGTTTCGGAGGAAAACATATTCTGATTAAACTTTGTTTAAAATACACATTTAAGGGCCGGGGATTTAGCTCAGTGGTTCTGCCACCTGTCCTGTAAGCGCAAGGACCCAAGTTCGATCCCCGGTACCGAAAGAAAAATAAATTTTAAAAAAATAATAAAATATACATTTAAGTAAGCACTGAAAAAGAATACAATAAATGTTTAAAAGATGAAAACAGTATTTTCACATTCTGGAAGACAGGGAAAGTAGATCAAGAAAATCAATACTTGGGGAGGAAGGAAGGCGTTCTATTTCCCGGTCAGGCCGGGCTCCCGCCTACCTCGGTGTGTGCCACGGCAAGCGGCAGTGGCACGGGGGCAGCGGGGCTCAACGCAGTGAGGGAGGTCATGGACGTTTTGCTTGAGATTAAAAAAATTCTGAATACTGGCTTAGATATGGAAACTCTGTCTATTTGTGTATGACTTTGTGAACAAGGCATTATTAACCCAGAAGCTTTATCATCGGTATTAAGGAGCTTCCAAGGCTACTGAAGCACTACAGGCTGCTGAAAATATGACAAGCTGACTTTCTGGAAAAATCTTGATGAGATATGTCAAGCTCTGCAAGAAGATTTGAAGACTGCATTATAGTCAAGAATGTACAGCAAAATTACTGCATGCAGCAGTATAGAAAAAATTTTCCTTTAAAAAAGAATTATAAAACCATAGCTTTATAAATCAATGGAAAGTGGCTTACAGAGAGAACTATCAGATGTGTTCACATCACATCTTACTCATTTTTTTTTTAATGGCTCTAATGCTTTGGCATTGCTGTGTTCATAGTTATGTATTCCTTATTTATAGCTCTGATAGCTTTAATGTTCTAAGCAGTCTGTCTGGCAGCCGTGCACATCTGCTGTGCCTGGTTGAAGTATAGTGGAACCCATCAGCAGGGATGTGCAGCAGTTATGACTTGTTGACATTCCCATTATAAACTTTAATTTTGAATTGTTTATGCATAACAACTGTGGATTTATGCTGTACTAGGCTGAAAGTTGACAGGATTTTAGCCAGCATTTGTGAATTTTGATTTAGATTTCTTATGTTTACCAGAACCTTGTTTTTAAAATAAGACCATAGAGAACACTTCTTGTAATCTGCTCTTTAACAAAGAACAGTCTTTGAAGAGTTTTGGGAAGTTAATAGTGTGAGCCAATCATTTTTGTATTGATTAAAAAATAAAACTTCTAGAAACTAAAATTTTAAAAGTACTGACAGTGCTTAGCATAGTATTATTTTTAGTTTAAATCATTTAAATCTAATAGGAATACTAACAATTATTTTTAAGTTTTATATCCTATAAAAGCCTACAAAATAATTTATACAATGAAATGTAGCCAACATGAAAAATTCCTTTTTACTTTTATTACATAAAAGTAACTGGAGGGCCAGGGATTTAGCTCAGTGGTTCCACCACCTGCCTTGCAAGTGCAAGGACCTGAGTTCGATCCCCAGTACCAAAAAAAAAAAGTAACTGGAATGCTTACCTAGTAATCTTGGGTGGTTATTTAATAAATCAGTAGGTAGGTGATATGTTTCAACAAATACTGTATTTTCTAAAGAAGTAAGGATTTGCAATAATTAAACAAAAACCAATTAAATGTGAATCAGGAATTGTAAGTATGGTTTTCTAAAATCATTGTCTTCATTTTTACCCTTGAAGTTTTAACTCATCAAAGTTAATTCTAGAATAAATTTTAGAAAATTTAGGATACAACTGGTCCTGTTCCTGTAACAGAATCTCAGTGAAAATTTTTTTGCAAAGTTAATAAGGATATAATCAGATTTTACTGTTTCTTAAATTTTAAGTTTTGTTAGATGCCATTTAAATGATGGTACAAGAATTTACTTTTCAGTAGCATTTCTTTTTATTCAGATACCTGAATGATTTTAATAGGATTTAGCAATATTTAAATAGCCAGCTTCTCTGACATTTAAAAAATAAATGTTGGCTTTTGGCTATTTCAATTTTTCAAATATATGGCATCTTTACCAATTAAACTGAAAAAGTCTTTTTGTAGAATGAGTTAAAAGACAGAACTTGTGATAAGCGTTTGACTGATAATAAACATGGCAAATACTGGCTGTTATTTATAAAATCAAAGAAAACATTTCTCTCAAACTCCAAATTTTGTGTATATTTTTGGGCCTTAAGAGTTGATGGTTTTATTTATGATTTTGTAGATTAAGTTATTTATGTATGAAACAAAGTAGGAAAATAAACTAAAAAAGGATTATGTTTACAGAGAGGACTTTCATGTGTCACATTTCTTAAATATAAACATATTTTTAATGGACACTTAATATTTGAGAAAGCAAACAAAATAACAAAATTGAAGTGTCACGTATGTGTCAGTGACAAAAATAAAGCTGTTTTGGTGATAAAAAAAAAAAAAGAAGAAGAAAATCAATAGTCATAGCCAAATGTTGTGGCATATACCTGTAATCCCAGCACTCCAAGAGGCTGGAGCAGGAGGACATCCAGTTTGAGCCCAGTCTGGGCAATTTGGCAAGATCCTGTTTCGAAAAAAAAAAAAAAAGGAGGGAGGGGGCAGAGGATGTAGTGAAGTGCAAAGGCCCTGGGGATGGGGGATGGGGGTTGGGGGTATAAATGTTTATTAAAAAAGACTTTCAGAGGTGTTTTTATTTTTTTGTTGCTGTTTTATTTTGGGTTTTTTCCAGTACCAGGGATCGAACTCAGGACCTTGTGCTTGTGAGGCAGGCACGGCGCCACTGAGCTAAATCCCCAGCCCTCAGAGGTTTGTTGTTTTTTAAAGCATACTTTTATAAGAGGCAAATTTAACACAAACCCTGAAAATAAAAGTTTAGCAGAATCACAAAAAAGTGTGTAACGTGACCTCAAAATTTTACATAATTGTATTAATGCACACAAAAATATTCTAGAAAAGAGGAATGATGTTATGGTTTATATCTAGATGTCTCCCTAAAGCCTCATGTGATCGAGGTGAGGCCTTTCAAAGGCAAATGAATTATGGGGCTATGACTGCCTTGATATTAGGAGGTGGGCTCTGGTCAGAAGAGATGGGTTCTGGAACACAGCCTTTGAAGGGTTTATCTTGGATCCACTCATTTGACTCTCCGATGCCTGGATGCCATGCCATAACCAGCTTTCCTTCTGCTATGCCTTTCTGCAATGCAGCCCTGCAGCACAGTCAACTGACTATGAGCTGAAACGTCTACAAACTGAGAATCAAAATAAACCTTTCTTCCTTTCCTTTGCTATGGTTGGATATTATGTCCCAACAACAAGGAAAGTAACTCAGACAAGTAGATACACTCACACAAAACTTATACTGGTACCTCTCAGGCAAAGAGTGCTTAATAAGGTAACATCAAATAAGAAAGAGCATGCAAGGGAGAGCAGATCCATCATGTAATGAGAAAGAAATTGAGTTCATGGATAAACTGTGTAATATTAAAGAAATTAAATACACATAATGTGTGGAAGTGACAGGCTTGTGGTGGCACACATCTGTGG